GTTTAATGCATGAAAGGATAAATAATCTAATACAACACATAAAATAAAGAAACCATTGAAACGTGTTCAAAGAGAAGGAATTGAATAAGTGTTTCACAGAGCATTACATTGTTGTACTACTTGTAAGACAGAACAAACTGGTTGAAGTAAAGAGAGAATAAGGAGTACAATTCGAACAATAGAAGTCGAATTTTGACAAGTACTGTTACAATAATCCCGCCTCAAAGTGGCCTTCAATTTTTGCTAAGGACATATAAAAAAAGCATTCAAGTCTTGGCAGATTTGAAAATAATGGGAATTGAATTTTGAATGAAGAATATTTTTACACGGGCTAATTGAAGTAAAGACAGAATAAGGAGTACAATTTCAGCAATGGAAGCCGTGGTTTACCGAGGACTGTTGCAACCATCACGCCTCAAAATGGCCTTCAATTTTTGCCAAGGATCTATACAAAAAGACTTCAATCTTGGTAGATTTGAAAATAAGTGGAATTGAATTTTGAATGGAGAATAATTTTACACAGACTATTAAACAGGTTAGCCACATAATAACTATCCCCAAATAGTTAACTAATATTCTTTTTCGAACCAGTATATCCACATCTCTGTGTCATATTTGTGTCAAAACCTACTTTTTATTCGGGTCAAAACCTTTATTACAAAAGTTATATTCCAGCTAGCATTGCTTTTATCAAGTTTAATGCATGAAAGTATAAATAATCTAATACAACACATAAAATAAAGAAATCAGGGAAACGTGTTCAAAGAGAAGGAATTGAATAAGTGTTTCGCAGAGCATTACATTGTTGTACTACTTGTAAGACAGAACAAACTGATTGAAGTAAAGAGAGAATAAGGAGTACCATTCGAACAATAGAAGTCGAATTTTGACAAGTACTGTTACAATAATCCCGCCTCAAAGTGGCCTTCAATTTTTGCTAAGGATATATAAAAAAAGCATTCAAGTCTTGGCAGATTTGAAAATAATGGGAATTGAATTTTGAATGAAGAATATTTTTACACAGGCTAATTGAAGTAAAGACAGAATAAGTAGTACAATTTCAGCAATGGAAGTCGTGGTTTACCAAGGACTGTTGCAACAATCACGCCTCAAAATGGCCTTCAATTTTTGCCAAGGATCTATACAAAAAGACTTCAAGTCTTGGTAGATTTGAAAATAATGGGAATTGAATTTTGAATGGAGAATAATTTTACACAGACTATTAAACAGGTTAGCCACATAATAACTATCCCCAAATAGTTAACCAATATTCTTTTTCGAACCAGTATATCCACATCTCTGTGTCATCTTTGTCAAAATCTACTTTTTATTCGTGTCAAAACCTTTATTACAGAAGTTATATTCCAGCTAGCATTGCTTTTATCAAGTTTAACAGGGGTGGAAATTTGGGTTGACCCGCCCCGCCCCGCCACCAACTCGCCAAAAACGGGGCGGGGCGGGTTGACCCACCAAAAAATATGGGTTGTAAAAATGAACCCACCCCGTTTTATGGTGGGTTGGCGGGTTGGCGGGTCAACCCACCAACCCGCCAATTAAAAAAAATTAATTAAAATTCAAAAATAAATTATATTTTATGAATTTTTTTAATATTATTTTATTTTATTTGACACTTCTCTATATTTTTTTTAGTCTCAATCTTAAATGTATACTAATATTTGTCAAACATTCTTTAGGAATTTATAAATAGATAACATTTGTCATAAATAAAATTGTTATCTTTATTTTTTCTAAAAAGTACTAGGATAAAAAAAAATAGAATATCACAAAAATTTAAGTACTAATGAAATACTACCTAATTGTAAAAAAATAAAAAATAAAAAATAAAAAAATTTAAAACCCGGCGGGTCAACCCGCCCCTCAGCGGGTTGAACCCGTTTTGACCCACTTCTAGGCGGGGCGGGTTGAGGTGGGTTGGTGGGTTGAAAATCTCAACCCAACCTGCCCCGTTTTGGCGGGTTGACCCGCCGGGCTCAACCCATATTGCCACCTTTAAAGTTTAATGCATGAAAGTATAAATAATCTAATACAACACATAAAATAAAGAAATCATTGAAACGGGTTCAAAGGGAAGGAATTGAATAAGTGTTTCACAGAGCATTAAATTGTTGTACTACTTGTAAGACAGAACAAACTGATTGAAGTAAAGAGAAAATAAAGAGTACCATTCGAACAATAGAAGTCGAATTTTGACAAGTACTGTTACAATAATCCCGCCTTAAAGTGGCCTTCAATTTTTGCTAAGGATATATAAAAAAAGCATTCAAGTCTTGGCAGATTTGAAAATAATGGGAATTGAATTTTGAATGAAGAATATTTTTACACAGACTAATTGAAGTAAAGACAGAATAAAGAGTACAATTCCAGCAATGGAAGTCGTGGTTTACCAAGGACTGTTGCAACAATCACACCTCAAAATGACCTTCAATTTTTGCCAAGGATCTATACAAAAAGACTTCAAGTCTTGGTATATTTGAAAATAATGGGAATTGAATTTTGAAAGAAGAATAATTTTACACAGACTATTAAACAGGTTAGCCACAGAATCACTATCCCCAAATAGTTAACCAATATTCTTTTTCGAACCAGAATATCCACATCTCTGTGTCATATTTGTTTCAAAACCTACTTTTTAATCGTGTCAAAACCTTTATTACCGAAGTTATATTCCAGCTAGCATTGCTTTCATCAAGTTTAATGCATGAAAGAATAAATAAGCTAATACAACACAAAATAAAGAAACCATTGAATCGTGTTCAAAGGGAAGGAATTGAATAAATGTTTCACAGACCATTACATTGGTTTACTACTTGAAAGATAGAACAAATTGATTGAAGTAAAGAGAAAATAAGGAGTATAATTCCAGCAATGGAAGCCGCAAGGACTGTTACAATAATCACGCCTCAAAGTGCCCTTCAATTTTTTCCTAAGATCTATACAAAAAGCATTCAAGTCTTGATAGATTTGAAAATAATCAGAATTGAATTTTGAATAGAGAATATTTTTACGCAGACTTTTAAATAGGTTAGCCATAGAATTACTATCCCCAAATAGTTAACCACTATTCCCTTTCGAACCACAATATACATTTCTCTGTGTAATGTTCGTGTCAAACCTAGTTTTTATTCATGTGAAAACCTTTATCACGAAAGTTTAGCATTGCATCTATCAAGTTTGACGCATGAAAGAATAAATAATATAGTACAATACATAAAATAAAGAAACAATTGAAACATGTTCAAAGGGGAGGAATTGAATAAATATTTCACAGAGCATTACATTGCTTTACCACTGTAAGACAGAACAAACTGATTGAAGTAAAGAGAGAATAAAGAGTACAATTCCAGTAATAGAAGCAACGGTTTGCCAAGGACCTCTACCTTCTTCTAGAATCTTCATCATTGATGATATATGTGGTATTCATTGAGGTTGTTATTTAGACATTGAGCCATGCCCCAATAAATGTGGTGCATGTTTAGCCACCAAGGATTAATGGAGGAACACATCCAACAATTCTCCCTCCTTCAACTGTAATGCATCGAGTTCATCATCCTAGCACCTTGACAATAATCTTCAAATTTCTTTTCTGGCACCAGCTTTGTCATCATGTCAGACAAATTAAGGTAAGTGTGCACTTTGATGAGTTCTAAGTTTTTTGTCTTCTAGCACATCCCAAATCTAGTGATACCTCATATTTATACATTTTGTGTGAGAGTGATAGGTCGAGTTCTTCGCTAAATGGATAACACTTTAATTGTCATATTTCAGCTCATACCTTTCTTGTTCATGACTGAGTTCAAGGAGAAGTTTCTTCTTCCACATCATCTCCTTGCAGGCTTCAGTTGCAGCTATGTATTCGGAACCCTTCTTCATATCCTTTATATGTATTATCTTTGACGAATTAGGTGAATACATCGCCACAAATTACCTATTGGTTGGTAGGCCTGGCAGTTTTTAAACTTTTTACTATAATTGTTGTGAATCTGTGATGGGTGATCGGAGTTGCAGAATGATATACACGTTGCTAAATCTTGACAGCTTGAGACATAATTTTAGAGATTCTGAATATTTCTTTTTGTATCTATATGAATCCAACATTTTTCAGTAATGTGAACTCCTCCTCAATTGCATCATCGTTACCTGAAAAGCCACAAAAAACAAGCTAGTGTTTGTATATTTTAATCTTTTGTTATTACTTTATTTTTAAATATAGTGAATTTAGTGTTTGCAAATCATGCATACCATTTGAAATGTAGAAGTAAATCACGGTTTGCGCAACTTCATTTTGGGAACTAACTCCACATTATAGTTATATTAATTGAGAAGTTCATTTTTGGAACTAACTCCACATTATAGATATATTAATTGAGATCTTTGGGATCATCACGATCCAGAGATTGAAATTTTGGGGTTAAATATGCTTAGTTCTTTACAGGCGGAAAAACAATTCATATGTTGGTTTAAGATTTAAAGGGAAACAAACTGTTTTCATTATTCGATGAAAATGTATCAGAACTTTCTCGGGGTTGAATCAAAACTCACCATTTGGTATGTAAGTCCCAAAATCATATATAGTTACCTGTTGTGCACGATGAAATTTTTCTTTAAGAAGTGAAAATTTCTTATGTTAGGAAAGCTTTCAACATATGATATCATATTATATAAATGTAAAGCGGTTTACATTTTTGCAGCTGTTGTATGTGCAGCTATCAAATACTTGTCATATATATACTTGAAAGCATTAAATGCGAAAAATCATAACCATACAAAGGATGAAAGCATTAAATGTGAAGAATCAAAACCATAAAACTGTCGTTGTTGTACATAGAAGCAGAAGGTATTGTCGATAAATAGAAGTACATCTTGTTCATTGACATCGCGAAAATATTCCGCCATGCAGCCGCTTTATGTACAGCAACGACATGTGTATGGTTATGATTCCTCACATTTAATGCTTTCATCCTTTGTATGGTTATGATTTTCCACGTTTAATGCTTTCAAGTATATATATGACAAGTATTTAATTGATGCACGTACAATGAGAGCAAAATGTAAATCCCATATATAAATCATAATAGGAAAATTGTAAAATGAGAACGAAATGATTCTTGAAAAACTGAACTTTATATTAAAAAATGAATATGGTAGGAATGCGTACAATTAGGACACATCGCCAAGAGAATCACTTATTTCAGCTTAGACTTAGACGAGCTCTGAAGAGGTTTAGCAGTTGACCGGACAGGGGCTGACCTAACAACTTTTTTCACATCATACTTCACGGAAGATAAGGCACATATCAAGGCGATCACCATTGTTGGGTAGACGTATACAGCTTTTGAAGGATCAGAATTAACTGGCTTTCCTAAAATCCCTTCTTTGACCAGTCCCCAAATTACAAGAAGTGTCCCAAACATACTCATTCTCCCAGGTTTTAGAAGACCCATAAGTGCTCCTGCCACTGAGAAGTAGCTTCCCGCAAGAACCTAGTAAACAATCCAATCCATGTATATTGAGATGAATGAAAAGTATGAACAAAACATTAAAAACAGAAAACTAATGGAAAATGGACTCATGCACTACAACGAAAATAATTGAAAAATTTACAGGGAATCGCAATAGGACAGATGAAGGTATATCAAATTGCAAATAGCCAAGAATAAGAACAACAATAATTGAGTACATTTTATGTGACTTTTAGGAATTAATGCCTCTTTGACTTAACTAACAGAGTATTCTCATTGCCCGAGGATTTTTTTATTCTTTTTTTTTCCTTCATTGGAAAAATTATTGCATTGGCAAGCAAAACTTGAAATCCAATAATCAATTTTCATTTTGTTGTTCAACTTAGTAAAGACATCAACCATTTCAAAAGTGTATGTTCCACCAAAAATCCAGGACAAGGCAAAGGCTCTAATTAGAAAAGATCCGTGCAATGGAACTGGAAGGTTTTAACTCAGACAACAGCTGACAACTCCAGAGATGAGAATAAGCCCATTTAACACAGCAAAAAGTAGGGGATTTTAACTTTCAAGGCTATATAAGAGACCTCAATCATCAAAAGACAAAAGGTGTATGTATGATCAATTAAATGGCCTAACCTCCAAGCGTTGAAGATCATGTACTGCAGAAGCTTCCTTTACATTGGTTAAGTTATACAAGTCCAACAAATTATTCCAACTTGGAACAGTCCGGTTGTGGATGAGGCTGTTTACCGCAGCCCCTGGGTACAGAAGGCCCTTGACAACTGAAACAGGAATGATCTCACTTGCAATTAACTGTGATGATGTGACATGCAAAGGGGTTGTACACATGCCAGATCTGCAAGTCACCCTGTAAAAGTAACAAAAAAAAAAGAAGGATAAATTTCAAATGTGCTCAATGCTACAACCTAGAATATACTTAACTAGAACCTCCTCACTACCATATTTCGGAGAAGTTTAAAATTTTAATCCTAGACTTGTCCCAATCGTACTAGTCGAAAAGTTATGAACCGATAAAATATTTCAAAAAATAAAAATACTTAACTACAACGTAAAAATATAAGAAAAATACTACTCTCATTATACTTGAGATATTTATATCATGTTATCTCATTTCGAAAATCACATCTCCATTTTTATTTTTTATTTTTTTTTAATAGTGGACCTCACTTAGCTTCTCTATGTAACATGAAAGAAATATTCTCAAGTAACATAACATAATAATATTCCCCAAAATATAAATAACAAACTATATATCGCAGAAGAAAGGCGATACACGTGTAATAGAGTAGAAACTAAGCCACACCAAAAAAAAAAAAAAGAGTAGAAACTAAGCAAATTTTTTTTTTTTTTTTTTTTTAAATAAAGAGGGGCTAAGCCCCAGAAACATAAATAAATTACAAATCAGAAACTAACAAGCTAGACATATTTCTAGCATCACAACTATAAGTTCCATCAACTGAGGAGGAGGATCTTTAAAAATCTTGAAATGGAGATTATTAGTCTATGTATTACCTATGTTCATGCCAAGTACAGAAGATGATAATATCCAAAGCCACAATGTTTCAATAACAATATTCTCAGTTATGTTTAATAATCTGAAAGTTGATAACAAGCTCTTAATTTATTTAATCAAATTTTGATCTCTGTTTAATCGAACACTAATGCTTTTTCTTCTTTCTCCTTTTTAGTACTCTTATTATTTTTTAAACCATAGCCACAATTCAATCAATAAACAACCGTGGAGGAAGTAATCAAAATATTTTGCATAAACTGCTAAGGCGAGTGCCTAGCTTTTCGCTTAAATTCCCGTGAGCTTTTTACAGATGTTCAACCTCATTGATACTTAATAGGAACATGAAAAAAAAAAAAGGAAAGAAAGAAAGGATTTAGGGTACCTGAAAAGAGGGATCTGAAAGATGATGAGGACGAAGAAGATACGAGCAGCTATTGACGAAATATTCTTCGTCCATCTCTTGGATGAAGAAGACGATTTCGACGATACCCTGGAGGTGGTTGCCATGGAGTGACAGCAAGAGGAAGGATCTTATGCTTCTCGACGTAGCGGTGGTGGTGGTGGTGTAACCTACCCAGTTTTCTACCTCTTCCCACTTCCCAGTAATAACAGGGTATCCAATTGTAATTTTTCAGTACTTTATTACTTTATCGCCAAAATAAATAATAATAATAATAGTAATAATAAATTCAATTATTTCAAATATATTTATGTATTAACAACCGTTCCCATTTTTTTTATAACAAATAATGTGCCTTTTTATTTCCTGTAAAAGATAAACCCAAAGAAGAGGACGATGGGTATGGCGGTTCAGGGTTTATCGTGTGCTCAGAGTGAACGCTTCCTTGCACCATGGCGACCTATTCCTTTGCAACGCAAGCCTCTTTTCTGCTCCGTTTTTCTTCCTTCTCGCCCTCGGAACCTCTGCTCTTCAATTGTCGCCGCTTCTTCCAAAAACAAAAACAAGGTGATCTGAATATAAAGAAATTCTTTCTGGTTGTTCCAATGGAATGCAAAGTTCAGAAACGAGAGAGGAAATTTACTTGTTTTAATTTACTTCTTTATCTTCATTGAATAATTCTGCCTATCATCCTTGCTTTTAGCTTTATATTAAGGTTTTCTAATTTATATCGTGATTAAATATGTCTCTGATTTATTGGTTTATCTTTTAAAGAAAAAATTGTCTCATAATCTTGTTACTGAGGGGGATAACGAGGATGAGGACGCATTTGAGCTGCTCTTCAAGCAACTTGAAGAAGATCTCAAAAACGATGATTTGTCTAAAGGTGATAGCAATGATGATATAACTGAGGAAGACATTGCCATATTTGAACGTGAGTTAGAAGATGCATTGGGAGACTATGATACTGAATTGTTAAACTCGGAAGATATAAACGACACAGAGACTGGTGATGATCCGGAAAATGGTAATGATGATGGAGATGAAAGGTCACTCAAACTTAGGAATTGGCAACTGAAGAAGTTGGCTCAAGCTTTAAAAACTGGCCGTCGTAAAACAAGTGTAAGTGTGTTATGTATTTTACGAATATTCAGCCCAATTTGTTTGTTCCCTTGTTGCAATTTTACTTTTTCCTTATCTTTCACTTCGATCCAATTTCATTTCTTTGCGTGTTAGTCTTTTCAGAATGGATAACTGATAAAGAAATCTTTATGTTTTTTGGCACTATAACTGAGGATATCGGGTGATGGGATTGTTTGATTTCCCTTTGCAGAGGTGGAGTAGTGTTCTGATTTCTTCCCTACTTGAACTGCCTGTGTGATTTTCATTTGAATAATACCACATGAGACGTGTTTGACAAATCAAAATATGTCTGGAAAATGTCAACCATTTGTTGAAGCTTTTTATTCCAATATTATTTGTTAGCAATATGATGCACCTTCTGATATTTCCCTGCTTTCATGGTATTTTGTAGACAGAAGCTTTCTATAGCCTGATTGAAATTGTTAAGTAGGTAGAAAACTAGATGGACCAGCTGATTCATACTAGTTACTGCAGAGGATCTCCAGTTAATTTGCAAACACCTTAATTTCAACTTTTTTTTCTTTTATTTTTTTGAAATGTCGAGGTTAAGAACTCGAGATGGATTTTCCTTGAAAGGGATGCAAATTTGAAGGTAGTAATTATGTGTTCATACGAAGAGGAAAGAAAGGGGGAAATCTTTGTATTGTCATACATACTTAACATGAAAGATCTATGCCTGGTCAGTCCCTAATATTAATAACTTTTGGACTCTGTTCCTCAAATTCATCTTTTGTTACAAACCCACTAACACGAATAGAGAAATTGTTCTAAAGATAAAAAGAAAATGAGCGAATCTTTGTTGATGATGATTGAATATCATTCAGAAGAGGAGAGAAATATCCTCCAAGGTTTCTCTTACAACTGAGCCACTGCTCGGTTTTGTCAATGCTAATAACTCTCCTGCAGTCCTGCCGCCCTTCTATCCCCCTCCTATTTAAGTAAAACCCCTATCCTTCCAACCAACTGACTAATTGTTCTAACTATTGATACTCTATTATAACTAATTTCTAACTAATAGTTGATATTTGGGAATCTTTAAGAATACTTTCCTGTTCAAGATTCACCTTGTCCTCATGGTGAAAGGTTGGATTCTGGAGCTTTGTTTTTGGCGCGCTAACAGGGGTTGTGTCATGTGTGATGTTGAGCTTTGTGGAATGTGCTGCCATGACACAAGGCTGAAGCTTAGCAGATTGTTGGGCTTGAAAGCATCCAACAAGGAAAGGGGGCTGTGGCCCAACATATGGCAAGATTCATGGTTGTAACCTGCTACACCATCGTGCTATCCATAGGGATAGTTTCCCTCTTCGTCTTCAGTGTTCACCTACACTTTGTTACCTCAAAGATGGTTTTCGTTACCCAGATTCTCCACTCTGTCTTCCCCCTACTTCTACTTTTCCATTGGTCAATCAACTTCGAACTAATTGTTCTAAATATTGATACTCTGCAATAACTAACTTGTGATTAACTATTCATATTTGAGAATCTCTAACCATCTTTCTTATTTGTTGCAGATAAAAAATCTTGCTGCTGAGCTTTGTCTTGATAGGGCTCTTGTTCTTGGTTTGCTTCGTGACCCTCCTCCAAATCTTCTAATGATGAGTCTATCATTACCTGATGAACCCACAGAAACAATAACATCACTTGAAACTAAACCTAGAGAGACTGTTCATAAAGAAATAAGTATGGATCGGGTGGATTCTGGACCCAAGTCTAAAGAACCTATTCATACCATGCAACGTAGTTGGTCTGCTCAAAAGAGACTGAAAAAGGCCCAAGTTGACACTCTGGAGAGAGTTTATAGGAGATCAAAACGGCCCACCGTAAGTAAAGTTTAACTTGCCATGCTTCAAACTAAGTAGTGGCTTATTACTTGATCTTCTGATTTTATTCACTTCATTTTTCTCTTCTAATAACGATTCCCTCTTGAATCAAAAGTTATGCGGTAGAAACTTCAAATAAATGAATGCTTGTACCGGTATTATGGTTTTAGGCAAAAGAATTAAGATGTATAGTTGTATCCGTTTGTCTGTGTTTCAGGATTATGTGGTATGGTCATACCTTCGGTTGGAAAATTCCATGACATGTAGAATTGCCAAAATGAAGGTCAATCAATGGTTTCAATCTCAGTGCTTAAGCGAAATGTTCCATTTTAGTCAGATAGATAGATAGAGACTTCAAGAGAATGGGGGAGATCACATATGCACATTGAAAGTCATTAAACACTACATATGCATAAGTTCTTATCTTTATTTGCCCCCAAATAAAAGTAAAAAAGGAGCCAAGAAATTTAAAAAAAAAAACCCAAAGCAAACTGCTCTGCATTCCATTACTTTTTAATATATATGTTGCATTTGGTAGTGTGGCAAACATGAGTCTTGATAGTTATTATAATTATTACGCAGTATTCTCCGAAACATAACCCTTATCTGTCTGCGTTTAATCACAATGCAGGATGCAATGATCAGTAGTATCGTGCATGTAACAAACATTCCTCGAAAAAGAGTTGTTAAGTGGTTTGAAGACAAACGCAATGAGGAGGGAGTTCCAGATCGCCGGATTCCTTACCAACGCTCTGTTCCTGAAACTTCTTGAAGACTTATCTTCTCTGATTTGTTTTTAAACTGTGAGAAGTCTTATAATTGTATAGAAATTCATATTTCACCGACCCTGCTCATGCTTTTAGGTTATGACACTGGCTATTCAAAATGGGGCTGCGATCACCTGATACAGTGTGCAATTTTGGTCCATAGCAGCCAATCTCAAATAGTCATAAGGTGTGCTGGTAACCATAGCATCCATTAATGTCATTTTAAAATATTCACAGATGAAATGCAACTAGTTATGTTGTGCGCAATAACCACATGGTAGCTCCACGTGAGTTGCACAATTAATTGCGCCAAATTTTGTGCGTAACTATTTGCATGTGGTTATTCATTGATTCCCAAGCCCCCAAAATGGTTATTCATTGAGGGTTTCAGTCCCTGGAAAAGAAACTGATTTTGGTACTTTGTCTACTTTTCTTCGAAGTCATCAGCTTCCAATAATAAATTGAATTCCAAGAGCTTTAGGGATGATACACCAAGGATCTCAACAATTAACACATCAGCAACAAGAGTTTTGACTACGGGCAAAGCCTAAGGATAAGTGTTGTTTTGGTTCTTCTTCGGGAAGAAAGAGTGACATTGTTGTGAAGAGGATAACAATCCCAATAGCCGCACCACTGCCTCTTCTTTTGAGCGCAAGGTGTTGGGTGTGGTAGCAGAAGCTTCTCTAGTGATTTCTCTGAGAATCTCTACTGGGTGCGCATCTTGCACTTTTAGAGGGTCGAGACTCTGGGGAGGCAATACTGACATGACATGTAGATGATACCAAAAATTCGTGTTCGCCTTTGATCCGTTTTCTAATTCAAATTGTATTTGTGTTGGTAAAAATTGAGACGAAAAAATTTGTATTGCGTAGTATGCTAACTTGTAGGCGCAAAATTTATCGACGTTAATTTTTTTATAGGTTATTGGTGTTGTATTATGTGGTGTTGTGTCAAATTACATAATAAGCTATACAGTTTGAGATTATAAGGTTATTCATATAGTGTGTCGTATTCTTGTTGAAGGTTTTGACCCATTTTTATGTTGGTGACGTATTTGTATTAATCGGAATTGCCACATTTGATCGAGTCTCAACATGAAGGTAAGCCCAAAGTAATTGCTAGAGGTGCTGCGGGATTGAACTGTGGCGGCGGCAACAGCGATCACCACTGCATGAAGAAAAGAGTTTGGTATGGAGGCTTATTTAATGGGTTCATGATCTCCTCGTCTTCATTATCATCATCTTCCTCTTATTTTCATCTAGTAGGGTTAAGAGTTGGGGTTGGGCATTTGCTAGTCTTATGAGAGCTTTTAGCAGCAAACCCAATGCTAAAGACAATGAAGAGGATATTATTAGAGATGCAAATCATAAGAATGCCATGCAAAATTTATCTGCTATACCTTTATTGGTTGCTGTTAGAGGCCGAAAATAGAAGCGGCAAAGAAGAAAAGGGAAATGAATAAATCATATGGGGGAATCAATGAATAACCACATGCAATTAGTTGCCCACAAAATTAGGCATAACTAGTTGCACAATATTGCACCCAACTTATACAGAATTGCTACATGGTTATTTGCATAATTTTGTGCGCAACTAATTACAGTATATCCGTAAATATTTTTAAACGGTATTAATATCATAACTTTTTTTAATTGCAATATTTTAACTTTTTTGCCATTGTTTGGCATTAATTTTAGAGAGAAATAATATATATTTTTTCTATTTGTTCCTGGGAAGGGTTTTTAGATAATAAAAAAATTGTATTTGCTAACAATTTATTTTTTATTCCTAGGAACATAGTTGTGTATAATAATATAATTCTTTACTTTTGAAATAATGTATAATATTTAATAAATAATAATTATTCAGAATAAGTATAAAATGTCATCTCATGAAAATATTAAAAAAATAAAAATATAACTAATTTTTTATAATATTATATTATTATCTTAATATTAAAGAAATAAATTGGCAAATAAATATATACATATATATGATGAGTCAACTCCTTTTTTATATGTCAAATTACTTTTGGCACATGAATCATGCCAAATATGCTAAAAGTAATACATAAAATTCTGCGAATACAAAATGTAAAATACAAATAATTAATGTTACATTTTGCAAAAAATATCACAAAATCCTAATATATTTTGAATGTTTTATAATTCATATTGTTTTAGCATTAAAGTGGAGTGACCCAATTTTGATATAGCATTAAAGTGAAGAGGATTTTAATCTCTCACAAATATGAAGTCTCTCATAAGCAAGACTAATATGACATTCGCATTAAAACAAAAGAACATTGTAAGATTTCAATAATTTATTTTAAAAAATTGTTAAATACAAAAATGCAAACTGCACCGCTAACTTAATTTTATATATATACTTAAAATCAATGTTATTAAAACCAGCTCGGTCAATGATCCGATCAAAGTATTAGGTCACTGGTTCAATCGCATGACTCGGTGATTATATATAAATTTATAATTTATATTAAAAAATTATAAAAATACTCAAATAGCTGAAAAAAATATAAATTCTAAATATTTTAATATAAAAAATAATAAATTATACATTATTGTCCAATAAAGAATCAAACAAACACATAATGCTTGTTATATGGGTGTTTCAGGTTCAGTAAACGACATCTCTAACTATCAAATCAAAATTCTCTGCATAGTGCATAACTGAGATAATATTAGTATTGTAGGTACATAACTTATGTAAATCAATAAGTAACAGATCACTCAAATATGTCAGTTATGATTAATTTTTTTTAAACTTTTTTTTTTAAAATATTTTTTTTTTAAAATCCGGGCCAAGTCACTGATTTTTCATCAAAATCGGTTGGGTCACACCGGATCGTATGGAATCTGATACTTGACCGATTCAATGTGATAACTAGATTGATCAAATGATCGAATTCTGGGTCAACCCGACCGGTCTGTTCCGAATTTTACAACATTGCTTAAAATGAGACATTTTAAAAAAATGTGTTAGCTCCTTTTTGGCAATTATTTATCGAAATCTGAAAATAATATTTTACCCATAGTTTCCCACAAGATATTTCTGGCAACATTTCATTCACCATACTGGGTATACTTTTCTTTCATAGTAAAAGCAAAACATTCTGTAGAAAATTAAAGCTGTTTTCTTTATTCTTTTCTAAAAAAATAAAAAAGCTAGTTTTTAAATGGGGATATTCACATCATAGTTCAAAAGACATTCTTCTCAGTTCTGACAACAACTTTAATTAACTCCATCAGAAAGAAAGAAAAAATCCCTATCCAAATTATAACTAATGTGAACTTAAAAAATAAGAGTATAGTGTTATTAATATTATTGTTAAAAGAATTTGACAACTTACAGAGTGTAACAGGGCAGATCTGTAATTTACTCAATGATGGAATATATTTCTAATTAAATGGAGGGGCACCGACAACATATCAAAAGAAAATCAAGAGCATAGAGTATTTCGTCGACAGCCTGGCGACACTTCAGGCATTGCAAATTGGCAAAGTTGTCTCTTTCACAACGGTTGTTACGTGTCAAAATGCTATTGGCTCTTCGCACAAGAAATTCACCTAAGACTAAGAGCACTTTTTCCAAAATAACAAATACAAAAGGAAATAATTATTCTTGCATGATCTCATGCAATAAAAATAAGATAGTGAGATTCATTATTTTTTTGAAGAAAAAAAAAATAATGAACTTCACTATTTTGTCTCTATTGCATGAGATAATTATCTCATGCAACATGAGATTAATAAATTCTAATAAAAAATTATGTGAAAAATGTGTATCATCTTAAAGGACACAAAGTCATGACATGTTAAGTGAGAGAAAAAGATAAATCATAGAAGAGAGCGGAGGAAATTTTTTTATAGATGTGGGTCTCATATCTTTTTTTTTTTTTTTTTGATAACAAGGTCTCGTATCTTTGTAAGAGTAAAAAGATGTAAGATATGTCATTTAAAATAACACATCTTTTTTTCAAAAATTATTTATCTAAAAAATAATTAATTTTTTTACAAATCACAGCTACTTATTTTTATTTTTTTTATAAGATATGTATGCACTTGTGGGGTGTGTGTGTTAGGAGTGTGTGTAGTGTAGGATGTTGTGTTCAATTCCTTGTAAACTCCAAAAAAAGTATAAATAGATTCGGTTAAAGCCTTAAACATTTAACTATTAAAAGAATAACTAAAATAATATTATTTTATTATTCAGAATTATTAAAATAATAATTTTATTTATTTTATTTAAAATAAATACTGTGATTTGGTCGATCTGTACACACAAATAAATCTATAGTCTATTTTCTAAATAACTTTTTTTAAAAGTCTAAATATGTTATATTTTACTATTTGTAATAGATTAAATCTGTCCTAATATAAACTAGACCGTAGAATTCTGTAAATTGGTCTAATCCAATTTACCCCTCTGGCACATATAGTACGATAACATTTTTCACGCGTGACATAACATCTAAAAATTACTTTATTTTAAAAAAAAAATTAAAACACTGTCTGATTTTTTTTTTTTTTTGATAACACACTGTCTGATTTTTTATTTAGGTGAACTGAGCCTCCTAAGTTAGAACACTTAAACGACATCAGGAATGGACAGGGAACCGGTCGATCCGGTAAAATCACAACGATAAATCAGACAGCGAGTGTGCTATAGCTGGACTCTGCAAGTGAAGAGAGAGAAAGAGAGAGCGTATTGAATGGGCGAAGATTTTCAAGCTTTACCTCGAAATCTAACGATCATTGATTTGCAGCACTCTCTCTGACAAACTAGAGGAGATGGAAGCAACTGCTGGAATGGTTGCTGGGTCCCATAAGAGGAACGAGCTTGTTCGGATTCGCCACGATTCTTCTGACAGTGGGGTTAGTCTTTCAAACCATAAACAATGTTGTTCTTGTTTTCTGCATCAGGGTGTTCAGATCAGATCTGGATAATCTTTATAAGAAATTGACGTGGATAAGGTTCTATAATTCTAGGCACATGATTTCTAACTTGGTATAATAATAATAATAATAATAATTCTTGAACTCTGCAGTCTAAACCCATGAAGAATTTGAATGGTCAAGTGTGTCAAATATGTGGTGATAATGTTGGATTAACAGACACTGGTGATGTCTTTGTTGCTTGCAATGAGTGTGCCTTCCCAGTTTGTCGTCCTTGTTATGAATATGAACGTAAGGATGGGAACCAATCTTGTCCCCAGTGCAAGACTAGATACAAGAGGCACACAGGTTAGCTTGTGAATTTGTCTTACTTCAGTTTTTTTGGTCTGATCCTGTATCTTAATTTTGAAATGAACATGATGAACCTGGATATTATCAGGGAGTCCTCGTGTGGAGGGAGATGATGATGAAGATGATGTTGATGATTTAGAGAATGAGTTCAATTATGTCCAAGGAAAAACCAAGCCAAGGCGGCAGTTGGAAGAAGATGCTGACCTCTCTTCATCTTCTAGACGCCATTCTCAACAACCAATTCCCCTTCTCACCAATGGCCAAACGGTAATCTATTAAACTGTTTTAGGCTTCTCTTCTCACTGAGGTTATCTTACTTTAGATTTTTATTTTATTTTTTTCTGCTCATTTTTACTTCCCGTTTTTTGGTACTACATTTTGGTTTAAACTATTGCCTAAACTATTGATCTCTCTGTCACTTACTTTTTTACTTTTCAAATGTGTTCAGTTGTCTTTTGTCTTGAGCGGTAATGTGGAAGTGAATACAAACCATCAATAGATGCTATTATAAACTTATTTTTTTATTCACTGTAATTAATGTTATGTATGTTTGTATCTGGGAGTACATTACACGAAAATAATGCATACATTTTACTTTTATCTTTCATAGACTGCCAGTTGGTCAATAATTCTCTAATCTTTTTTTTTTTACTTTAATTTGCAATACTGTACACTAATTGTCTCTTAATATGGTCAGATGTCTGGTGAGATTCCGTG